CATGGTTCTTCTGACACCCCCTAACGAGGCCCTTTCTGAGCTTGAGATGGACAATTAACAGACCATGGAGTGGTTAAGAGCATGGGTTCTAGAGTCAAACTGACCAACATTCGCTGTGTGACTTGGGCCAGTTATGTGATCTCTCTGAGCTTGGGGTCTTTATCTATAAAAAGTGGGATGATGGCAGATAATGCCAATACCAATTGGGTAATGTATGCAAAGTGCTTAGCGAGGTATCTAAGCTCAATAAATGGCACTCTGTGCTGCCTATTACCTTGGTCTCTACAAATTTGGGGGATCCTGGCCAAGGCAGCAATCCTTGGGACTGTGTCCTTATGAGGGCAGAATTTCAGTTTACTATTGTTTTCACACTTGTCCCTTCCCTTTGCAGATCCCCACTGCTACCACCAGGCCAAACCACAGCATCTTCTGTCTGAATTCCTGCAGCCGTCTCCTATCTGGTCTCCCATATCACCCTGGCCCTCTTCCAATCTGTTTTCCCCCACGGTATCCAAAGCGACTATTCCAAGGTTCAAATCCAATCATGAGACTCCTTTACCTAAAGCTCATCACTGCCCATTTTAGTTCCTTAAAATCCACCACCCATTCCATGGCTCACAAGGCCCTGCATGATCTAGCACCTGCCCACCTCTTTCAAGTCCTCTAAAGGGTCAGCTTCATTTTGGACTCAGCCTCTCTCCCCCTGCCTGGCTCAGGCTTTCCTGCCCCCAATGCCCACCCCTCCATCTGGCTTCCTACTCAGCCTTCAGGACTCAGCTCAAATGCACCACACTTCCTCAGGGAGGCCTTCCTAGACTCACTCATCTAAACAAAGTCTCCGTATTTTACTCTCACCATAATATTCATTCAATACTTATAACACTATCATAATACTTATCACACTACATTTGTAGCTGGGAATTTTTCTGTCATTATTTTATGTCGCACTGTATGCTAGATCTTAGCTACAAGAGGCTGGGCCTTGTCCCATTCCTCACTGTGCACACACAGTGCTGCCATAGAACAATGTCAGCTACATGGGAGGCACTGCTTCAATAGTAGTTTAATTAGCAAATGCATGGATGAATGAATGATGGATGAATATCTCAGCAGGGGTTGTGAATGCTTCTGTTCACTGATGGGCTGGGCTGCTGTGGAGGTGTGTTTGTCAAGGGTTGTGAGCTGCAGTGCAAACCCAGGGAATGAGGAATTAGAACACTGAGTTGTAGTCCCAGGTGCCCTTTTTATGGGCTGTGTGACCTTAAACAAGCTTTGGAGGTAGGAATCATGACTTACTCATCTTTGTGTCCAAAACGCTTGGCACAAGTAGAAGTTCAGCAAGTCAATAACTCCAAACTCTTTCCTGTTCTGAATTCCTCCAAACCCACTATCAACAGCACTTTTAGAACTCAAGCTGCAACTTGAGTTTGGGTATCTATGTAGAGAGCAGATGTCTGTATAGACCTTAAAAACGCACACGTGAAGAAGGGAGCTGCCTGCAGCACAAGCCAGTGCCCTCTGCGGGAGCCAGGCCAAGGCTACAGAGGCCACAGGCACAAGCACAGGTGCCCAGCTCCGGGGCCTGGTTAGAGTCTCACAGAAAATCTTTAGTATTTCCGCTTCTACGAAGAGCCAATAACCTGAGTTCACATCAAATCAAGTCCTCAGCACTGTGCTGGGGAGTGCGGGGGAGATACAAAGATGACTAAGTATCTGCTTTCCATGAATCCAGCTTAGTAGGAAGGAAGATGAACTATAGAGGCAAAAGTCTGGAACTAGGAAGCGAGACAGCCTACAACGTCTTCAGTCCTGGTTTTCGGAGAAGCGGCTCTAAGAGCTACATTACGTGCCTATCTGGAATGTTCAGCAGTTTCACGAAACCAGAGGGCATAGTAGCAAACCACTTGTTTGAGCACATAAAAGGCTAACCGCTTCTTGGCCTCCCCTGGCAATGAAGATAGATATCGCTCGCCTGTAAAACACCGCCAGCACAGCCTCTGCCTCCGGAGCTGTGCCCAGAAACCAAGGGCGTGGAGGAGATTGCCAGCCAAGGAACCGTGAGGCACTGCTGTCAGCCAGAGCGGGGCCTCTGACTGATGGCAGAGCTGGCATTCAGTCCGAGCATAAGATAAGCCACCTTCTGAATAAACCACGCTGGCCCTGGCAACCACACAGGAAGGACAGGGTTTGTTTTCAAAGGTTCAAGGATTCTTGGACGAAAGAAAATGCCTCTGAGCCAACACAGGTGCCCATTCTGTTCCCGGCTCCATCACCCTCCTCACCCCCAATCTCCCAACTCTAGAACGGAGTGGTTCCTGTCTCAAACAAGATTTCATGGCTCTTCCATTTACACCAAATACTACCTCGTTTTATTCTTTCCACGAGCCAGTGAAAAAGCCTCTTCCCATTTGACTCATGTTGCCAATGCAAACACTGAATTGAAGGGACTTTTCTCATGTTCCCTGGGCTGCTAAGTGGCAGCCCTGACATGGGGCCTTCTGATTTGAAATTCCTGCTCTTCACTGTATATTTTGCTGAACAATTGGCCTAAATTGGATTGATTTTCTTGTCAGGACCTCTTGTTCAGAAACTCACTCCTTTTGGATGTTCCCAAGATCAGTGAGAGTTTCTGGAGAGGAGGGAGTAGATGAAGGGGAAGATGGCCTGTGGAGGGTTTTGGTTCCCTTGGTGGCAAGTTGGGTAGGTCTCTCCCAGACCAACAAACAGATTGGAGGTCCTCTGAGAGGGAGAGCAGGAGAGCCTTCCCTCTGGGGCCCTCTGTGATCAGGGATGTCCCCTGTCCTGCCCTTGCTACAGTCCCATAACATCCCTGTGGGCCCACAGGGTGGTGGCCCCTTGGTTATTGGGCCACTCATAGCCTGAGGCTTATTTTGACCCCGTCTTTTTACTGCAGGGCATGGAATCAGGGTTGCCAGGCTTCCTTCTGAGTCATTCCTACCAGGAGCCACTGAATTCCAGTTGGCCCCCTGCCCAGCCCACCTTTTTCACCTCCTTTCCTCCTTTCGCATTCAAGAGCCGGGGCTTTTCCTTAAGGAAGCCCTTACCACTGTGACGCCTTTGTGGTTTCTCCCTCTGGCCTGGGCAGAGGCTCTGATGCCTGCTCCAGGGGTGGCTGGACAAGGGTGTTGGCAGCAAGCAAGTGTGGAAACAGACCCTAGATTCAAATATAGGCAGGTCACTCATGAGCTTCCTCGGGCATCCAAGAAAATGGTACCAACCAGTTTCCACTCTCCCAGAAGCTCCCACGAGAAGATATGGGAGGCTAACTGCCCATTCTGCGGAGACTACTTTCTCCTCCAAAGTCCTCCTGATTCTCAGTCAGATGCTTGGGATGCCACCTCCCATCCCACAGCCACCACTTTCCTGGCCCTTCTCCATTCTGTCCCCTCGTTAAAGCACAGGACTCAGGGCTCCAGGGCATCCCTGCCCTCCTCCAGGGGTATCACAGGGACTCCCTTTCACCTTCATGGTCCTTCAATCCCTCGCAGCCCATCGCTCCCTACCTCGCTTTCCCTGTCCACTCCCATCCCAGTTCTTGCCCCTTTAGGCTCCTCTCCACAGACTTCCTGGCTCGTCCTGAGCTTGAGGACTCTAACACAGGGCCATGTGCGGAGCTGGTACCAAACACTTTTTGTACTGACTTTAAATCACAGAAAATCAAAACTTGAGAGCTTAGGAATCTGCAGGCCATGCCATTCACTTTTTATATCGAGAAACTGAGACCTGGAGAGAGACACACTAGGACCTAGTCACAGGGACCAGATCAGTTCGTGGCAAAGCCAAGTCTGGGCCCCCAAATGCCTAACTCCAAGCCAACCTCTCCCCATTGCCCACGGTCAGGACCCCCACGGACATGCCTTCTTCACATCCCTCTATTTTATTCCCAGGACAAGACCCAGGACGAGCCAAGTGGCCTGGCTCCAAAGGTTCCTTCTTGTGTGATGAGTTGGGGGATGGGGGCCCTGGTGGGGGAGGGTTGGGGAGGTGGTGGTTGTTTCATTCGCTTTTAGCCAAGCCTTTAAACATTGTGAAGAAGGCAGACCATTCCCTTCACCAGCACTGTGTCTCTTGTTATCTGTAAGAGAGCCTGTTCCTTCCAACCCACCACCCACGAAAGGATTCCTTGGTGAGAGCCTCCCAGGCTTGTTAAGCAGGGGAAGGAGCAGTGATCCTCTCTTTGGTTTGGGTTCCTGGCCCCTCACAATCTCCTGGGCCCCAGATCCTCTCAGAAGACTCAGACATCCAGAAATACAGAATAAAACCTGGTCCTAGGGCAGAGGGGCAGCTTGGAAGGTGGTGGGGAGAGGTCAGGGGAACATCATCAACAGGCCTTGCTTCCACCCGACTCCAGCTCCATATACAGAGGGGCCGTGGGGGAGGCCAAGGCCAGCACCAGGGCTAAAGCCCTCCCCTAAGGACATTAGCCCAGGAAGAGGCGTTTAAAGCCATGGTCAGAGGCAAAAGGCTGACTGCCCTCATGTCAACTGCCCTCTCGTTCCCGCTTGTTTCTCCCCGCCAACCGCCTCTGCCTTTCAGTTCTGCCTGCCTCCTCTGATGTTTCTCCCCTCTGTGTGTCTGTTTTGATTCATCTGTTTTTCATCTGTCTTTTCATCTGTCTCTACATAATTATAGAAATTTTTCTTCTGATTCTGTCACCTAGCTCTTGTGTGGGATTTTTTTTTCCTGTCAGTCTCTTTCTTCAACTCTCTCTTCATCTTTCTATAGTTCTGCCTACCTGTCTTTTTCTCTCCACAAAATAAGTGCCAGTTCTCCCAGTGGGTTTCCCCAAACCAGGGAACTCCTGACCCCCAGATATCTTTCTTCTCTCTGTGCCTATCTTCTCTTTTCTCTGTCTCTCTAGCATTTACCTCTCTCTCTCTCTCTCTCTCTCTCTCTCTCAATTCCCCACCCCATGACATGCCCCGGCTTCCCTGGTGACCCCTCAGCCCCCAGAATGCTGCCCCAGGTGCATCACTTACCCATGACCACTGGCCAAAGGAGGCAGGAACATAAGCAGCTCAGGAATACCCAGGGGACCCTCCTCCAATGAGTCCCCCTCATGGCTCCAGAAGAAGTCCTCCAGGCTCCCCGGGACTGAGCGTGGAGCAATGCTGTGAGAAGCAGAGGTGAACCTGTCCCCACTGGCTGCCGGCCTGAAACAGGTGTATTTCCCGGAGGGGCCAGAGTACCCAGGAAAGAGGACAAAAGAAGGTGGGGCCCCACGCCAATCATCCTTGCCCCGTCTTTTCTTTCCTCAATCTCCACCCCCTTCCCCACCAGGAAAAAAAACACCCTATACAGTCATTGCTCTGCTCCTCGTCAGCCTGAGCCAAGTAGGAGGAGGGATGGGAGGGGATGGGAGGGACTAGAAACCAGGGAACACTGGAAATGAATGGCCCCCCCTCTGGCCTGAGATCCTGGGCTCTCTCCTGCCTCCCCAGGGGCTGCCCCTGTACTGCTGGAGCTGGGTTATCCCAGGAGAAGGCAGGGGAGAATGAGAAAGAAAGGAGCCAAGCAGGGGTGAGTTCAGGGCTGCATGAGTAAGAGAAAGAGTGAGATTTGAGGAGACCCTAAGGAACATGGGGAGTGGGGGGAACAACTCGAGGTGAGAGGTAGGACTCAGAAATACCCTGTATGAGACTTGGGGGAAGGAGTGTTGGGCTTAGAATATTTGCTCAGTGCCAAGCATATGGTAGACCCTGGCCAGATAGTGGATTTCTTGAGATAACAAGAGACAGGGTCTGGAGAGCCCGTGGCAACCTGGGGAAAGTAGCTTGAGGCATCTGGGATGGGCAGTGAGGTGGAGGTTAGAACTGGGGAGAAGGAATTGTGACCCCATGAGGAAGTGAGGGTGCTAATAGAGATGTTGAAGCTCAGATAACCTCCTTTTGACCTTTTGGGATTCACAGGCACCAAGAAGGGATAGAACCCCAGACAGGGTGTGCCAAACAGAGTTCTGAAGGTGAGAGAAGGCAGGTGGTGTAGTTCTGCAAAGGAAAACAACGGAGGCCTTCCCTCACTCTTTGCCCAGTGAGAAGCTTCTGGTTCCGCCGGACTTGATTCTGAGTGTGGGGTCTGTGAGTGATTGGTCCCAGAGCAGGGAGCTCAGGCTCTTAGACACCATGCAGTCCAGGAAGAGGAATCGACGTTTCCACATTCCCAGGCAAAACTAGCCTTGCCCATGGAGAGGTAGATGCCTGACACTGTGGTGCCATCGCAGAGGACCCATGAAGAACCCCAACCTGTTGGCTACTTGCTTTCTGAAGCCAGAAGTCCAATGACAGCTGAGGCCCAAAGTCTGGACCTTCCAGCTATAAAGCAGATACTACAGAGAAGGAGCATGGTCCCCCCAGCAGTCCCTCCGCCTCTGCATGGACGAGCTGATCTTTTCTTTCCTGGGAGCAGGAAACTCACAAAGGTAAAGAGGGATTTTAGGCACCTGGACAACATAGGAGGATATCACTGAAGAGAACTTTCAGAGACGCCAAGGCCCAACTTGGCCTTCTTAATCTTTCTTTTTTTTTGTCAGTTCTTGCTCATGAGTTCTCCCTATTAAGTTGCTGTGTGTTTTGTTTGGTGGCACTCTCTGCACTAGAGTTTCCCGTCTACAGAAGAGGAAGAAGAAAGCATCTCAGGTTAAACTAAAGTAGGAGTTGGACATCTTGTTGACCCAGCACAGATAGCCTCCCCCTTTTCAATACAAGGAAGGCCAGAGGCACAGGGCGTTCTCCAGAGGCTATTGTGGTGGCCAAGACTCCAACCCAGGATACGTGGGCTCCACCACCCAAGGCAAGTCACAACCTCTTTTTTTTTTTTAAATATGTTTTTATTGATTTCAGAGAGGAAGGAAGAGGGAGAGAGAAATAGAAACATCAATGATGAGCGAGAATCATTGGTCAGCTGCCTCCTGCATGCCCCACACTGGGGATTGAGCCCACAACTCCGGCATGTGCCCTGACCAGGAATTGAACGATAACCTACTGGTTTATAGGTCAACACTCAACCACTGAGCCACGCCAGCCGGGCAACTCATAGCCTTTTTGAGCCTTGCTTTCCTCATTTATAAAATAGGGGTAATATATATATTAAAAAAAAAAGTCAGGGCTGGACAGTAGTCAATGTGGTAAAAACTATTCAGGACTATTTTTTTTAAATATATTTTATTGATTTTTTACGGAGAGGAAGGGAGAGGGATAGAGAGTTAGAAACATCGATCAGCTGCCTCCTGCACACCCCCTACTGGGGATGTGCCCGCAACCAAGGTACATGGTTGAATGGAATCGAACCTGGGACCCTTGAGTCCGCAGGCTGATGCTCTATCCATTGTGCCAAACCAGTCAGGGCCTATTCGGGACTATTAATCATGGGGAAATTATATTCAGGACTATTGCAGTAGGAGAAAGGGGACCTCAGTATAGAACCAGGCTCAACTCCGAATACAGCTTGGGCAAGCAGGAATTTATAGCCAAGGAGCACAGTAGGGGCCAGGGAATAAAAAATTACTAAGAGGAAACATCAGGGGGAAGGGGATTCTGGATAAACCAACCTAACAGGATTTTTTGCTAATGACAGGTCAGAGCAATCAGACTTTGTCTGGGGAGTGGGGGAAGATGAGGAACCTGATCAGACATTGAGGAGAGGACACTCCTGCTAAACGGACTTAGCAGGGTCCTTGCTAAAGCTGGATTTTACAAATAAGTGCACAGATGGACCTCAAAGAAGGTGCTGGAGCTTGTCTAAAGTTTGGTCAAGCAAAGAGTCTGTGTCAAATAGCACCTGCCCAAAAAGTTGTGAGACTAGAAAGAGCTCATAAACATTCAAGTGCTAAGTGGTAAAATGTTAAGACACATGTAGAGGGCACGTGGCTCCTCATTTCATCCTCACAGGTAGAAACCAATGAGGGAAGCCAGGAAGCAGGAGGAAGCAGAGTCTGGAAAAAAATTTCCTGACCCATCTGCATACCAAGGTCTTCCCTGTATCCCTTCAGGGTTTTATGACATTGGCATGTACAAATCTAATTTATGTTCTCCTACCCCCGCCCTCTCCATTTCCCTTCTTAGTCTGTCCCCCCCCCCTTTCTTTTTAACTGAATGTAACATAGCAGTGTTTTAAATATATTTTTATTGATTTCAGAGAGGAAGGGAGAGGGAGAAAGAGAGAGAGAAACATCAAGGATGAGAGAGAATCATTGATTGGCTGCCTCCTGCACACTCCCTACTGGGGATAGAGCCTGAAACCTGGGCATGTGCCCTTGACTAGAATCGAACCTGGGACCCTTCAGTCCACAAGCCAACACTCTGTCCATTCAGCCAAAGCAACTAGGACCTTAGTTTCCCTTTGAGCCCAGCTTGGTCTCAATTGGAAATTTTTCTAGAGTTCAGATGCTTTTAGGTCTCTGTGATAAATGCCTCTCTTTATCTATTTGTTCTTCCTTCTCCCCTCCCAAGGCATCTGATGGAGACAGAGAAGGGTGAGGAAGAGGGGAGGAAACAAGGAGATTCTCTGAGTTCCATCTGGGGGAGACCTCCTAGGCCTGCAGGTGATTTGGTTCACCCAGGTTTAAGTTGACATTCCATAGGTGGGGGCAAGAGAACTCAGTCTAGACTTGGGGTATAAATAAATTAGAGCAAGGATAAGATTGTAACTTTTTCACATGGAAGGAAGACACAGGCTTGGCTTGAACAGACACAGCTTGAGTTCTGGACAGCAAAGTCAAGATCTTAAAGGGAGATTTCTTTCCTAAGCTAACCAAAGTGGGAGGCCCTCATTTTAGGAGGACCCCCTACAATTGCTTACCTCCATATAGTATATGTCCTGGTAGACCCTCATGAAGCTAATAAAGTTACTTCTGGTCACACTTAAGCATTTAGACTGAGATGGGGCAGGAAGTCAGACATTTATTTGGTCTGATTTATTAAGTCTTGAATAGAAAAACTTGTAACTAGAGTATCAGGCCCTGTGTATGTCCCCACGACCCTGTAAGGAAACTGAAGTTCAGGGAGATGCACATGTACTCTCGTCATCACTGAGTCATGGTCCAGGTTGGGTGACCAAGTGAAACTGAAGGATGCTAACTTCCTTGACCACACTTGCCCAGGTCACACAGTAAGTCACAAAGCTGGAATTCGAAACTAGGTCTGTCGGGCTCCAAAGCAAAATAAGGAAATTAACATGCACTAAGTGCTTACTCTACCCCGAACTGTGTTATTTCCCGAAGGCAAAAATGGAGATGCACCTTTAAGAAAGGATTCAGCATCCAGTTGCAAGGAGCGTGGTTAGTTAATAGCCTCTAGCTCTTAGCTCCTTCAGAGTGGCCTCAGCTATCAAGCCAACACATACCAGCTATCAAGGGTCAACTCTTCTCAGGGTGACCCATGGCCAATGACTGAGCAAGGCAGTGGTGCAAGGCGCTGGCTATTTCCACCCTCACGGGACTCCTCTAACAGGCAGTCTTCACTCCAGAGCACCCCTTAAGGCTAGCAGAGACATTGTGACTTTGTTAGCTCCCACCCCTCACCCAACACCCCCGCACTGCCCATTCCTGCCTCCTCCCTTTTCCTTTCATAAGTATTACTCCCCAGTAAGCCTTTTCATTTCACTCCATCTCAGCATCTGCTTCCAGAAGGACCCAACCTAAAACACTCACTTAAAAGAAGATGCCCACTGGGTCCAGTGTGGAGAGCCCTTTGTCCTGGGAAACGGGGTGCGGCCAGAAAGGGGGCTGCCCCCTCTTCCTTCACGCAACGCACATTCATGTTCATGGGGAACTTGGTGCTAAACCATTCATAGGCGACCTGCTTCTGGGTCGGGATTTCATATGTAGCAGAGCAGCTCCCTCCCTGCGATCTATTGGAAGTCAGCCCTTGAAACAGGGGTTTGAAGAAGAGAAAAAAATAAAATATTTTAATTTAAAAATATTTTAATTTCTTTAAAAAAAATCCTATTAATAAAGAAGTAATATGCAAATTGACCATCGCTCCAACACACAAGATGACCGCCCCCATGTGGTCAAAGATGGCCAACCCCATGTGGACACAAGAGGAGGAGGGCAGTTGGAAGGG